AAAAAAAAAAAAAAAGTAAAAACAATGCCTAAACAATAAAATGTAAGTACCAGAATTTGAACTCGGGAAGGCGGCGAATGAAAGGCTTGAACTCATCAGAGCCTTTTGTAGGCAGCATAGGACCATCTGAAGGTTCCAGCTCAGGGTCAACAAGAGGTGACAAGAACCCAATCAGCAGATTTAGAATGTAGATTCCCAAACCATAGGTCACAATGTAGAATCCCTGAAGATAGTAAACTCTCAGAGCATAAACGCAGACCAAAGAAAAAGTTGCAATCCACCGATAAAGAGAGTGAGGAGTTGATTTATCTAAATAGTACTGAAAAAGTTTTGACATTTCGTGCTTCCGTTTGCTTAGTGCGGCAGCTGCTGTTGGGGGACCATCACCTCCAACCCCATCCATGATTACTATGGATCCACAAACCCTACAAACCCAAAACACATTTTCATCTATAAATTCACCCAAAAGAACAGACCATGTTTGCCTTCCATAAGGACATTGACAGCAAGAATGCGTACAAACGAACCACGGGTGCAAAACAAATGAATCGAGACGTGGCGCTAAAACACTAACGTAATCAATTCATGATTGGTACAAGACGACCCCAATAAAAATCGCCTAAAAATAACCCCGACCCCCAGTGATTGGTATGATTCTGTTTATCAAGTAGAGCACTAAAATACAAAGCAAAATAATCAGTCAGCTCAAAGGCATCCATGAACGTTGTAACAATATAAAATAAATAAATAAAAACATGGAATAATATACATAAAAAAAAAAAAAGAACGACTTAATAATGAGGGAAATGAGGAGCAGATCTGTATCCAGCAAATTTCCTTCGAACACATTTCAAACGAAACTAAGCTCCGCTGATCTTTTGACACACATCTACCCATGATTCACTAATGATATTCCACTAGATCACAAAAAGCAATCCATATCAAATGCAAAGTATACAAAATAAAGTAACTCTCAAAGGGCAGTGAAAACTAGATCCAATACAATATACCCTCAACAAAATCAGGCATTGATGAAAAAAAATAAAAAAATAAATAAAAATATGATATGGGAACAGGTAGCTGATTAGGGTTTCACCTTGGGCGACGATTATGGAGGTCGATGAGCAGGAATTATTGAGGAGTTATGGGGGGATGAGATTTTAGCGTGTGAGGAATTTGTGCACTACTCAAGTCAGCAGTACTCACCCAAAGCACACAGCAGATCGACGTCGGTGAGCCCTAAAAGATTGGGCAATGTATGTCATTTGATTAATGTATCTCTATATCTCTATATTTATAATTTACTAGTGGTCCACGGGCCCACGTCTAGTTTTTAATGGATGCAAAGATTGACGAACATTTAAACTATCATTTTGATCGTTTGAAAATTTTTAAAATTTGTTAGCGATTCTTGTACAATTCTCTTTTGTCACTTTGCTGCGTTTTGTTGTTCCAATAACGTTGTGTCACAGTGACATATTTATCGTGTTATTATTGTTGCAATTGTGTTTAATTATGCATTTGGAAGTACTGTCAATTAATAAATGTCAATCTTCTCTCTCATTATGCCTTTCTTTCGTCATGTTTTGATGCAGGTTTGGTATGATTTCATTGAATGCAAATATAGTAGAACGATTGTATGTGCACACGCAGCTGGTCCAATTTAATCTGTAATTAACAGTAGAATTTGTGTGTGTATATATACATAATAACTGTAATTTTGTAAGTACAAGAAAAAACAATTAGAACAATCCAAATCAAATATCGTACTTTACGATTCTGTAGACTCTTTTCAATGTATAAGGAAAAAAAAAAGTACCTACAAAATCAAACATCTACGCTCAAGCTAAAAATTAAACAGACCATATCGATTGTTAAACAAATATCCACCTAACCCATCAGTTCTTCTATGAAACCAGATGGTTGGTTCCCTAAGGGAACCAGCCATCTGGTTTCTTAGCAAACTTGCCTAACCCATATAGTAGAGGGGCCTAATAGAATATCTCCCTACATTTTCCCGTTCAATGGAACATTTTTTTCAAGAACATATCTATTATTTACACGAACATTGATCCAAATGTTAGTTAAAATCTAACAAATACAAATTCAATTTTCAAACATATATAACTAACATAGTTTTCGAAAGGATAAAATCAACTTGCCTACTCGATCCACCAAATCGAACATTATGATTTTGACAATTACCAAAGCAAATCTTCCTGAAGCATTTAATAAAAAATATTACTCCCTCCTATTTTTTTTTAAATGTCATTCTAGCTTTATCAACTATTTGCCAAATAAATGTTGTTTTAGATCTTTTGTACATATTTTTCATTATTACCCTCATTTAGCTAATAAATACATTACGTTTTTTCATATTCACTCTTCACTTTTTTTCAAAACATTCATCTCTATATTCATTAAATAAGGTTATTATTGACAAAAAAATTATTTTTAATTATTGTGCAACTTCTCAAAACGACATATATTAAAAATAAGAAGGAGTACCAAACATAAGATAGAATAAACATAATCAAGAGCTAAAACTCTCATTCCAATAGAATCACAAGGATCACGTAGGCGGAATGAACAACATTCCTCTTTTCACCTTTTTCCTTCTCAATTTTAAAGCACACAACGGGTTCAAGGTCGCACAATAGGCCTCTTTCTCTTCAATTCAATAAAATATTATAACAATAATAAAAAATTGTTCTATTTTTATATATTCCAAATTATTCAAATCCCACTACACACTCCATCCTTGTGATGATGGTCTAGCTTGATGAAGCTCGAGTTATTCTTTTACGTTTTCATAATTGGTTCAAGGTCAAACATCTTTTATTTATTTTTTTATTAATGATTTACAAAAAATACTTTTTTATTAGAGTTTTTTCTGTTCCAAATTATAATATCCCCATACAAACTGTACAATTTTACAATCTTGAAAGTCAGTTGAACCGTCCGCTTTGACATACACCAGCATCTCACTCTCATTGATGAATTTTATGAGTAGTCTTTGTCACAACAAAAAATAAAGAAAAATTTTCATATATCCTACATGATTCTAAAAATATTGCAAATATACAATCCATAACAAATAATTATAAACTTACCTAAACATAGTAAGTAACATTAATGCTTAAATTTGGTTATTATAATCTTCAACATCCATCCCCTTTTTATGGAATTGATTAAGAGAGAGAAATGAAAAACATGCCTATAATAAATAATTAACTCATTTAATTCCGCCGCAATTGGAATTTTTTAATTCACGCAGCTCATGTGGTATATATTGAGAAATTTTGATCCCCTGCCCACTGTGGGCAGTGCCCACCACTTTATTTTATATGAAAAACGTATTCTCAGATTGAAAAACGTATTCTCAAAATACGTTTTTCATATAAAACAAAGTGGTGGGCACTGCCCACCGTGGGCAGGTGAGCGGGACTAATATATTGAGTATGTAACACCCCGACTTTTAATACCATCAGAGTACGCAATTTTTCGCAATTTTCTGAATAAATGAATAAAATACTTATTTTCGAAAACTGATTCGGGATGCTACCGTGAAATACTTAATTTTTCTGAAAACCGTTAAAATTTTTAAACTGATAATTAAAACGGTTTAATGTCTTATCCGACTAACGTCAGAACAAAAACTGATAATAAGTACTGAAAGTTTTAGCGGAAGACAAATGTGGCAAAACATATATACATATAATCACAAAAGTCCTGAATAGCCCGCCCGCTCACTCCTCGTCCCCGACCCTGCGCCCTGAAAAACATGAAAAACATGGGGCGTGAGCACTAAAACACTTGTGCTCAGCAGAAACTCATACTAATGTAAACATCGTAAATAATAACAATATCATGAACTAAGCATATATAACTGAACTGAAACTGAAACTGATATCTGATACCAGTGTGATCTCGCGACATAAGTCATGTAACTGATAACTGAAATCTGTCGGCACAAACTAATACCGCAATCTCCCGGCACAGACTAATACCGGACCATGTGCACACTCTAGTGGTTAGATTAGGCCACTAGAACTCAGAATGGACCGCGACCATTCCGAGCGGATACTGAATATACATACCTCGAACATGGTAGCGTAATTATAAACAATGTAGTACTTAGTCTGAGTCCCCACCTGAACTGCTGA